AAATAAATGCTGTTCTTTGAAACTTTCTATTCATCTAAGAATCCTGGAAAAATTATCACAGAAATGTTAAGCACCACAACTGTTTTCAATATTGATAATAATAAGAAATGTTTCTTCAGCACCAAATCAGCAAATTATAATTATTTCTGAAAGATAATAAGACACTGAAGACTGGAAAATTCAGCGTTGACATCACAGGAATTAATTGCATTTAAAATATATTAAAACAGTAAACAGTTAGGTTAGATATTTAAATTGAAATAATATTTCACAGTACTACTGTTTACTGTATTTTTGGTCAAATAGTCAGTTTGGCAGTAGCTTTTCAAAAACAAAAACAAAAAAAAAAAAATGAAATCTTTAAGCACAAATGGCATTGTTTTCTGAGAATGGGCCATACAAAAAGCACAATTCACATGATAAGTGAACTACAGAGATTAGAGACGACTGTTTAAAATGTAACTGCCATTGTAATTGTTATTTAAATGTCATGAGACCAGACACATTCAGTGTGCTCATACTGATTTTTCACAGTGACATTAGAAATTGACGTTAGAATCTCTCTAAAGGTGGCATTTTATTTTCTATTTTGCTGTGTTTGGCTAAATCATGTAGTCTTTATTATTTATTCTGTGTAATTGTATTGCTATCCAGCAGATGACGCCACAACCTAAAATTCATGCAGCCATAGCCTCAGTCAGCACCATAGGCTGTATAAAAACAGGTCAGAACCCAGTTTTTGTTGATAGTGGAGAAGTTTAATAGTTTAAACGCTGTTACTTCTCTGAAACCATATGATAATAATAGGTAACAAGAATACAGAACATATCTGTAGCAAATAATGACAATAGCTCTGCAGACGAGAAATCAGTTTCAGAAATGAAATCAACTCTTACAGGGCACACACAGAAGAAATGGAGCAACACATTTAACAAAAATCTCAAGCCATTTTCATGCCTTATCAAGTACACAACGTGTGTGTGCATGAATGAACATACATGCACATGCTTATGAGAACACGTGCGAGTTACAGAAGACAGATCCACAGCATCAGGTTCACATACAGCATACTCATTTCAGAATGTGTACGTGTGTTTTGTTACAGATCACTCTACATTATGACCTCTACACATATAACAGTGATTAACACACTGAAGAAGCTGAATGCTCAAAATCCACACACACCCTTAGGTTTGATGTGAAGAGTCTAAGTATATGCTTGTCAATCTATGAACAGTTACACCGTAAAAAAAAAATGGTAGTAACATTTTAGGTTTTACGAATAGAACTGAAAGTTAATGTTAAAATAACAACCTACTGAAGTAGCCTATTAAAAAGTTATAGTTTAACAGCACAGATGTAACAATAAACCCTAATGTACATAACTGATGAGAAAAAGCATTGTTTCATATTTTTTCAATGAACCCCCATCAAATGCAATGTGTCACAAAGGGACAGTGATTCTTTTTCACTTCCAAAAACATAATTACAATAAAAATTACAGCAAATTTTGATCTTTTTTTTTTTTACACAGTACAATGAGTCTTTTATTAACTATTTTTGAAACACCCTCTTGAACACAGATTTTACTCATTTTATACCATCATTAATTCCAAATAACGGATTCCATCATACACACAAGTAATAGTTAGAATGATTTAATTTAATTGTGGCAACATCCAGTACACTTAATACTTGACACCCATCCCTGAAGAAACCTGGGGTCAAATATCTTTTTCAAAGAAACATCATGATAGCTCATGGATCAACGCTTGTGATCTGAGCCTGCAGCTGTGATCTTTAGTCACTAGAACAGGCCTTCCCAGTGGTGCTTCAACGTAATCTTTTTTTACTCAATCTCCATACAGTTGGTTTTGTAAAGTTTCCAACTTTCCTGTCATTCCACAGAGGCTCAGATGGATTGAGATCTGGGCTTTGACTCGACCAATCCAGGATATTCGCTTTTTTTTGTTGCATATACCACTTCAGCCTGGCTTTTGCTCTGTTTTCATTTATTGTTCTGCTGAAAGGTGAATCTTCTTCCCAGTCACAGGCATTGTTAAACTTTGCTCCATCTATTCTCTCTGTTCTCACTCATGGCTGTTCAGCTACTAATACAAAAAATAATAACATTTAAAGAAATATATAAAAATACTAAAATAAAAGATGCTATTAATATAATGTGCTCTGTCAAATACAGCAATTTACATTGCACAAAATGTATGTTTTGATCTCATATGATTATTTCCTGAAATGATTGCATGCGTTGGGTTTACTATTTCTTCTCTTGAGTGCTGGACTCAAAATTACTTCAAAAACAAATACTTTGAGATTCTCTCAACTCAGATCTTTAAGTGCATTGTACGTGACTAATATGGTGGTGGTTTTCCTGCAAGGGGTAATTCTGCTGTCTCATCAAGAACCTTAACCTCAAGTTTTTCCAAATTTGTCTCCTAAAAAAAAGGTAATGATCTAAATTTCTTTGGAAATGCAGTGGGACATTTCAACTATGCAATTATGTGGACTCTAATGAGATAAGAGGATCAGCAACTTTTAGAGGTAGAAGATTAATGTTTATGCATTTATTTTCCGCTTTTAACTTTATTGATTTAATGAATAGAACTGATGAATAGAACCAAGTCCCTGTCTTACTTTTATATTTTCGGTTTTAAATCTGTTACACTAAGATGTACGTCACAATTTCATTGCAACTTTAATTCAGACTTCTATCAACGGGAATCTAAAGTGAACTTATTACAGTAACAATCACAGCAACATGTGGTAAGTACCTTGCTCAAGAGCGTTTTTGGGCTCAATAACCCTCCTGTTACTAGTCCTGAGCTTTGGCCCAGGGCCAAATCATGATCCTATGAGGCCCCTGATTCTTTGGAGTATCCCACCTGTTAATCTACCTTATCCTTATTAAGGGCAATTAGCTAAAATAGTAGCCAATATATGGTATATAGTAATCAGCTGAATGCACCAAGTGTCTCGTTGCCCTAGTGGTCATGTACACGGTGTTCAATGAAAAGTCACTTCCTTTACTAGTCCTGGGCTATGCAAAATAAGGTTTTTGAGGGTCGTTGAGGCTGTGGGGCTTTGGTCCATATTCCAACCTTATCTTTGCCACTATGCTTCACCACACATATGTGTCATAATTAATAAAAAATATTAAAATTATAAAATGTTTTAAAATGTTTTGTGTGTGTGTATATGTATATATATATATATATATATATATATATATGTGTGTGTGTGTGTGTGTGTGTGTGTGTGTGTGTGTGTGTGTGTTTATAAATAAATAAAA